GACAGAAGATCCTGACCAAAAGCCCTTGAGTGCTTTATTACAGCTTGGATTGTTGAGTCTTTAGCAATTCACTTTTAAGTGACTTCAATTAATAGCAGTGCAATATGTGGATGTATTTAGATGAGGGAATAAGTTGATCCAGTTGGTAGTGTTTTGTAATATTAAACATATTGTATAAAAATCAATTGTACTGCTATAAGTTGTCCCTAATGTTATTGGCTTTGATTAAACCATTCTGGAAGAAGATCCCATTGTGTTAATTCAAACTGAAGTAATTGGCTCTTTTATGCTGCCTGCTTTTTATGATCAGTTTACAAATCCAAATGCCCACAAACTTTTTCTTCAGCTATTTAAGCCATATGCAATTTGACAAACAGAACAATTTTTTCTTCTGTACTTCCTCTACCTGAGTATTTTAGAATTCAGAGGGACTTTCAATTTAGAAATTAAAAGTGAATAAACTGTGTGGAATTTTTGGGTAATGCTAATGGTTATGTGCTCTAGTACTAGCTGAAAAACTGGCGGTTAGAACCCACCCTGATACAAGGCAGAAGACAGCCCTACTGATCTGCTTATGAAAGGTCACAACCTTGCAAACAAATAAAGGTCACATAAGCAAACCCTATAAAGCAGTTCAAGTCTGTCCACATAGGGTTGCCATGAGGAAGAATCAGCTTGACATCAAGTAACAATAACAGATACAATATATGGCATAAAAATAAATGGTTTGTGACTTTCACTATAAAGAGGAAAAAAAAAAAAGACACTCATGAAAAATGAGAAATCAATCGAAAGTAGCATTCTGGAGTAAAGTTGTATGTATAAATATGCATATATTTATGGAAATGGTCAAGTTTTATTCATAGTAACTGTCAGTGTAAACAGAGCAGTTAAAATATTCCGAGAGAATGCTAGACTGAGGAAAGCATAAGTCTCTCAGGATAATTTTTTAAACATAGAACTTCCTAGGAAAGATGGCGTTCTATTTTACATAGTGGGTTGTTGTTGTTAGGTGCCTTCAGTGACCTTAAGTACAACAAAATGAAACATTGCTGGGCCCTGAGCTGTCCTCACAATTGTTGTTACCCTTGAACCTGTTGTCGCTGCCGCTGTGTCAACCTAGCTCATTGGGAGTCTTCCTCTTTTTTTTTGTTTTCTGGTCCTCCACTTTACCAAGCATTGATGTCCTTCTCCAGATATTGATTTCTCTTGATAACATGTCTGAAGTATAAGAGATGAAGTCTTGCCACTCTCACTTCTAAGGACTATTCTGGCTGTATTTCTTTCAAGACAGATCTGATTATTCTTCTGGCAATCCATGGTACTACTGTTACTCTTCTCCAATATCATATTCAAATGCATTGATTCTTCTATGATCTTCCTTATTCATTGTCCAACTTTCTTATTCATATGAGGCGATTGAAAACACCATGGTTAGGTGCACCTTCCTCAAACTGATACCTTTGCCCTTTAACATTTTAAAAGGTCTTTTGCAGCAGATTTGCCTAATAGAATATGTCATTTGATATTATGATGTTGATTCCATGAGTTTTGATAGTGGATCCAAGTAAAATAACTCTTTGACAACTTCAGACTTTTCACCACTTTTCATGATGTTATTTACTGGCTTATTTGTGAGGGTTTTTGTTTTCTTTACATTGAAGTTCAGTTCATACTGAAGGTCTTTGATCTTCATCAGTAAATATTTTAAGTCTTCTTAGATTCCAGCAAACAAGGTGTTATCATTTGTATATCATAGGTTGTTAATGAGTCTTCCCCAATTGTGATATCATAGTCTTCTTCATATAATCCAACTTCTTGAATTATTTTCCCAGCATACTGATTGAATAAGTGTTGTGAAAAGATACAACCCTGACAAACAGCTTTCCTGATTTTAAACCGTTCAGTATCTCTTGGTTCTGTTCTAAGGACTGCCTCTTGGTATATGTACACGTTCCTCAGGAAAACATGTTCCTCAGGAAAAAAAAAAAATTAAGAAAATTAAGTGTTCTTAGCAATAGTATCCATAGTTTGTTATGATCTATACAGTTGAGTCCTGATGTGGTGCTGTGGTTTAATGCACTAGACCACAAGGTCAGTTTGAACCTCAAGGTCGGTGGCTCAAACTCACGAGCTGCTCCTCAGAAATCCTTTACAGGGTTGCTATGAGTTGGAACTGACTTGATGACACGTAACAACAACAGTATAATTGAAAGCCTTTGCATAGTCAGTAAATCACAAGTAAACATCTTTCTAGTATTCTCTGCTTTTAGTCAAGATCCATCTGACACCAGCAATGATATCCCTAGTTCTACGTCCTCTTCTGAATCTGACTTGAATTTCTGGCAGTTTCCTGTCAATGGACTGTTGCAAGAGCTTCTGAATTATCTTCAACAAAAATTTACTTGCATGTGATACTAATGATCTAACTCTCTTTGTAATGGGCACAGATATGGCTCTCTTCCAATTAGTTGGTGAGGGAGCTGTCTTCCAAATTTCTTGGCATAGATGAGTGAGCAACTCTAGTGCTGTATCAGTTTGTTGAAATATTTCAATTTGCATTCTATCATTTCCTGGAATCTTCTTTTGTGTCTTCAATGAAGGTTGGACTTCCTCCTTCAGTGCCTTTGGTTCTTGGTCAAATACAACCTTTTGAAATGGTTGACCTTTGACCATTTCTTTTTGGTACAGTGACTCTGTATACTTTCCATCTGCTTTTGATCCTTTCTGCATCATTCAGTATTTTCCCCATAGAATACTTCAATATTTTCAGTAGAGGCTTGAAGTTTTTCTTCAGTTCTTTCAGGTTGATAAATGTTGAGCATGTTTTTCTCTTTTGGTTTTCTACTTCTGGTCTTTACACATTTCATTATAATACTTAACTTTGTCTTCTTGAGCTGCTCTTTGAATTTTTTTGTTCAGCTCTTTACTTTCTCATTTCTTTCCTTCACTTTAGCTTCTCTATGCCCAAGAGCAAGCACCAGAGTCTCTTCTCTTTTTTAAACTTTTTATTGTGAATTCATTGAAGATTTGCAGACAAGATAATCGGCTTTATAGTCAACAAATTATACACTTTATTTCATCTCAATGATTATAATCCCTTCCCTGCAACAATAGTTATCCTGCCTTCTGTGACTCCCCATTTATGTCTTATATTTCACAAATGAACAAAGCAAAAATATTTTATGTACACATATTGTTGTTGTTATGTGCCATCGAGTCTGTTCCAACTCACAGCAACTCTGTATAAGGTTTCTAAGGAGCAGCTGGTGAGTTTGAACTGCTGACATTGTGGTTCAAACTGACCTTGAGGTCAAGTGCTTACCCTATGGTGCCATATAGAAAACAGAAATTGTATGTTCATTTAAATATCCAAAGGGCACCTTCTGAAAGCCAGCATCCTGTCCACAGGTACACAGCGATGCTCAATCCATAGGCCTAGAGCCTGCAGCTGCTCTGTTTCTCCATGCCACTGCCTCTTCTCTCACCAGTTTTCTAGGTAGGGATCTCACGCTCCACTCATGCTCTTCCTGATTGATGGTCCTGGGATCGTCTGCTCCTGAAACAAAAGACAAACTACTCCCCCCTTTTAATTGCACATCTTCTACAATTACAGTTGTGACCATCACAATTAATCCTGCCAACAATTGAATCACGAAATCCTATCAGCATCATCTCCTATTCCCTTTCACCAGATCCATCTGGGAAAAGGTCAGAGTCATCCATTTTAGTCTTCTTCTTTTCTTTCTAATGACCTTTTGCACTCTTCCGGTATGATGTTCTTGATGTCATCCTGCAATTCTTTGAATGTTTTGTCATTATGTTGTTGTTGTTTAGTGCTGTCAAGACACCTAGCAACCCTGCACAGGGTTTCTGAAGAGCAGTTGGTGGATTTAAACTGCTGACCTTGTGGATTGAAGTCCAGTGCTGATCCTACAGTGCCATGCCAGAAGTCCCAGTCATAATGGGTAGCATGTAATGACAGCATTCACCAAAACACTGATTTTCAGTGTACACACCTATTTTCCTCATGTTACCTCCCAATCTCTGTATGAAGAAGGTAGTCATCATTGTCACTTTACAGATAGGAAAACTGAAGCTACTAGGAGGTTAAGTGGGAGCAGTTCTTCCTATAAATAGAGATCCCTAGCTTTTCTAGTTCTGGCCAGGAAAAAAAATCCTATCATTGTCTATTTGTTGTTGTTGTTAAGTGCCATCAAGTCTGTTCGGACTCAGGGATCTTGTGTGGGTTTTCCGAGGAGTGGCTGGTGAGCTAGAACTGCCAACCTTGTGGTTCAAACAGGTTGAGATGAAATGAATTCAAATTATGTAAGAAAAATGATGGTCCTGTCTAAGTGTTGTGTTTTTGGTTTTTTGTTTAAGTTCTTTTTAAATTCAGAAGTGGAATTCAAAAAGAGGCACTTTGTCGCCAGACACTGATAATTTGTCTTAATTTAGACCATTCACTTTTAACTTTTAAAATGAAGTCAATTAATCATTTGTTATATAATGTGAGCAAAGCACTGACAGGAAGGTCAAGAGAGTGAAGAATATCAGCCTCAACTTAATTATGAGAAGCATTAACAGCAGTGACTTCAATGATGAAAATAATTACTTTAGTTCCTACACAGAATGGAAAATATTTTTATTCTCTTCAATAAAGGAGCTCTGGTAGTGTAATGGTTACGAATCGGGCTTCGAACCTCAAGGTCAGCAGTTCAAAACTACCAGCTGTTCCACTCACGTAAAGATTTACAGCCTTGGAAACCCTGTACAGAGTCGCTATGAGTCGGAACCGACTCCACGGCACATAACAACAGCAATAACAGTCTTTACATTAGCTGTCAAGATGCCTTTTTACACAAATCAAAATATATTTACCACACGCTCTGAAGGAAATACCAGTTTTTTTTAAGTCAATTGAATTTATTTGGGGTGAATTAAAGAGGCAGTGTGTTTAATGTGGCATTCTCTCCCTCTTTCTTTTGTTTTGCCACTAGGTGAAATTAGGTGAAGATGCTCCTAATTCCAGTGTGGTGCATATCTCCAATTTTGAAGGAGGTGACAAGAGTGGAAATGGTGCCCAGGAGAAGACAGCTGACGGAGCAGAATGCCACCTTCTTGACTTTGCCAGCCCTGAGCGCCCACTGGTGGTCAACTTTGGCTCAGCCACTTGACCTCCTTTTACTAGCCAGCTGCCAGCCTTCAGCAAACTGGTGGAAGAGTTCTCTTCAGTGGCTGACTTCCTGTTGGTCTATATTGATGAGGCTCATCCTTCAGATGGTTGGGCGGTGCCTGGGGACTCCTCTTTGTCTTTTGAGGTGAAGAAGCACCAGAACCAGGAAGACCGATGCGCAGCAGCTCACAAGCTTCTGGAGCATTTCTCCTTGCTGCCCCAGTGTTGTGTTGTTGCTGATACAATGCCAGTGTAGCATATTGGGTAGCCTTTGGTCATGTGTGCATTGTGCAGAGACAGAAAACTGCGTATCTGGGAGGAAATGGTCCCGTCTGCTATAATGCTATAATATTCAAGAAGTGCAGCGTTGACTAGAGAAGAATTTCAGTAAGAGATAATCAAGATTAGCTGGTTAAATAGAGCTTATTGTTTTAAAATATGTAAACAAAGAAAACTAAGAACTGAATTCTTTTTTTCAACTAAATCCCATTGCATCACTGAAAGACAAGAATTTACATACATATCAGAAGAACATCAATCAATACTTATTCACCATTCAAATGATGTTTGGCTAAATAGCAGCCCTATCCCTCTCTTCCTAGAGAAAAACCTTCAGTGAAAAGATCTCAAGATGGAGAAGAAGAAACTCTTATTTAGCACGTGCTCATTTTGCCTTGAGAAGGCAAAGATACAACTGATGAATGCTTTGGGACAAGAAGAAAAAAACTAAAGAATTGCTATTTTAGGAATACTTACCTATGCTAGGATAAGGGATATCACTTAGATATTATTCAGCATGGATAGTACTGAAGTGGGAACTCTCATATACCTACTCATGATGAATCCTTGAGCTCAGGCCATGTGGTTAGTTAGGACTTTGGTGTTTATTTAACATGTTATTGTAGTTTCTCCTGTTCAGGTTTTTAGTATGCCAATTCTGTATGCCAACCTAAATGCCTGAAATTAACAAGTGTACTTATAGTTACCAAGAATTATCCTTTAACCTGGAGATTTAGAATGATCATGTGAGGTCTGAGAGTTACCTTCTAGACAATTGGAGAAACAGAAGTAAATCAAATTTATAAGCTGAGAAAGAGGATGTCAACAGATTAGGAGGGTTCATAAAGCCTTGAAACTGTAGAGAGTGGGCCTAATTTATTAGCCACAGAAGTACATAAACATAAGTAAGCCTTGAAAAGAAGCTCAACTAAACATAGCATGTAGTATACACATGTAAAAATGTGTTTACTATATACTCTTAGATTACAGGAGAGAGGGGGATTGAAAGGAAAGAAAAGCATACTTTTATTATTTGTGTTTATCAGTTATTGGCAGAAATAATTTTTTGAAACATGAACATTTTGTATTTATTATACTCCATGATACCTATTAAAGGTAAAACCAGTAGATCAAGAGAAAAAAAGAGAGAATGCAATTAAAACCGCATTAAGATACCACTGCACACCCATTCAATGACTGAATTTTTACTTAACTTTTTATTGTGATTTGTGTGAAACATAGTAAATTCATACATATTTTGTTTCATGACATGGATTTCAGTCCCCACAATGTAACAGCACTCATCCTACTTTCTCCCTGTGTTTTCCATTTACATTTGTCTATACTTCCTATCTATCCCTGCCTAGCTCTCTCCCTAGGACAATGCTGCCCTTTTGATCTCCTATGGTTGATTGTTTTAAGGAATGTGTGTCTCCCTGGTGTAATTGTTTGCCGTGTAGGCCTGTCTACTGTTTGACTGAAAGTTGAGCCATAGGAGTGCGTTCAGTTTCAGGTTTGAAGGTTGTCTGAGGGCCATAGTCTGGAGTTTCAGCAGTCTCTGTCAGACTAGAAAGCCTTGCCTTTTTTATGATTTTGAGTTTTGTTCCTCTTTTTTCTTCTACAATTAGAGTGGAGGTTTAAAACCAGCACCATCTAGATCTCTTGGTCTCCAGGTCATGGATGCTGAGGTTTGTGTGGTCCAGTAGTCCTTTTGACTAATTGTTTCCATGCATCTTTGGTTTTCTTCACTCATTTTTGCTCCAGATAGGGAGAAACCAATGGCTGTGCCTTTGATAGCCACTTGCAAACTTTTAACACTCCATTCACTCTACTCATCAAAGTAGAATATGTAACATTTTCTTTGTGAACTATGTTCTGTCAACTAACCTCGATGTTCTCTGCCCTTCCAGTGACTAAATTTTAAAATACTGGCTATACCAAGTATTGTGGAGTCACTGAAACTCTTCATAGAATGCAAAGAGCTCTAAATGGTGCAATAACTATAGAAACAATTTGACAGTTGCTGAAAAAGCTAAGCATATATTTATTTAACCCAGCCATTCCATTCCTAGATATTTACCCAAGAGAAATGAAAGCATATGTCTACAAAAAGACTTCCACATGAATATTCTTATAGTGTGCAATAACCCCCAAATAGAATTAACCTAAATGTCAATCAACAGACTAATGGATTTTTAAAAAAATTGTGATATATCCAGACAATGAAATACTACTCAGTCATAAAAAAGAGCAGACTGTTAATATAAATAACTATATGGATGAATCTGCGATTTATGCTGAGTGAAAGAAGCAAAATTTAAACAAACAGTGCCTACTGTATGTTGTTATTGTTAAGTGCCATCAAGTTGGGTCCAACTTATAGCAACCCTGTTATAGGGTTTCTAAGGAGCAGCCGGTGAACTTGAACTGCCGACCTTGTGGTTCAAAACAATATTGCAGTCCAGCGCATTAACCTGCAGCACCATACCACTCTAGAAAATGCAAAAATCTATAGTGAATGAAGGAAAATTGATCATTGGTTGCCTAAGATCAAAGGTGAAGGAAGAGATGGATTTCAAAAGATCACAAGGAAACTTTTTTGGGGGGGCTGGAAATATTTATTATCTTGATTTATTTTCTGACATTTTGCATTAACAACACATTATTTATTATCTGACATTTTGCATTAACAACACATATCTGATTAGTAATGAACACCCAGGTACAATTCAAGAATACCACTGCCTGTGGTGATTAAGGTTATGTGTCAACTTATCTAGGCCATGATTCTCAGTGGTTTGGTAGTTGTTTAATAATGTAGTCATCCTTCATTTTGTGATCTGATTTGGTTAGCCTCCATTTTCTCATACTGTTTTGATCTTTGGAACCTAACCATGTTGATTAAGTGAGAACTAAATATATATAAAAACCCATCAAATCATACACTGTAAAGGCATGAGACGTTAACTGTATTTCAATTATATCTTTTAAAAAGAATTTTTTTTAAATGACAACCATCTTTATTAATAAAAATATTGAGCAATTCTCTGTGTGGAATTTTGGGCCTCAAGGTTTCTTGGATACAAATAATTAGTGTGGTGTGAGTCCTGGTGTGTTGCTGTGGGTTAATGCGCAGGACTGCAAAGTCATTTTGGACTGCAAGGTCCTGGTTCAAACCCACCAGCTCCTCCTCAGAAACCCTATACAGGGTTGCTATGATTTGGAATCAACTCAGTGGCACTTAACAACAAGTATCTATAAAGGAATCCAGTGTGGCACTGCAAGGTAAACACTGGATTGTTAATCACAAGGTCATCAGTTCAAACCTACCAGGTGCTCCTTGGAAACCCTATAATGGGTCTCTATAAGTCGGAACTGGAGTGATGGCATTAACAACAATGACTTTGTTAACAACAATGTTTATAAAATTTTTAAAAACTTAAGAGTGATCATTCACATGTTTAATTGTTCTGAGGCTATGTCGGTCCTTTCTTTTCATGAAAATACTTGCACTTTAGTGTATTATATCTTGGAAAAACATGTATTCCTTCAAAAATGCAGTTTACCATCGTGTACTATGGATGGAGCTTGAAGACAGCATGCTGAGTGAATAAGCCGATCACGAAAGGACAAATGCTGTATTACTTAACTTATATAAAAAGATCAAAGGCAAATGTATGAGACCAAAGTTTATTAGTGGTTACTAAGGACAAGAGGGATGGAGAAAGGGACTTAATAATGATGGAAAATACAGTTTTATAGTGGTAGGATTGCACAGCCAATTAGTGTAATTGCTGTCAATAAGGTACACATTTGAAAAAGTTGTGAGGTAGATGTTTTTGTAACAATGACAACAACAAAAAAGAGGCTGCTTAAATGCAACCAAACCAACTTCTCATGGGATTTGATTCCTTGATTTGGTGGGTTAGAACATAGTTTTATGGAATATACTAAATAATTGACTTAATAATGTATTTAGCACATTTGTTCTACTTCTTAGTTCTTTATGTAGTGCTTATGGTCTTAAAAGCTTACAGGTAGCCATCCAAGTCACAACAATTTGGTCTCTATTTACCTGGAGCAACAGAGGAAGAAGAAGAGTCAGTAATAGGAGGAAGATATGGAATATTTGGTTAATTGCTTCCATGAGCAACCGCCTCCTTTGCCATGAGACCTAAAGAATTCAGTGGTGCATTATTACCATTAATGAGCATTTTGATTAATGATTCCATAGAACAGAATGTTGAAGTCTCAAGGACTCTAGACTTTATGGAGCCATGGAATGTGGATGAGTACCTGAAGGTATTGCACTGAGATAATCTTTGAACCTTAAGCCAGAA